GCTTTGACTTGACAGAATTTTCAAAGCTCATTGTTTCATCCTAAAGCAAACAAACTAGCTGGCCGTGCGGTAGGGCTTACAGAGCAGTATGACGAAATGCTACAGGGAACCCCAGGTCTGTCCCAGTCCCCTTTGTGACGGAAACCAAGGTGGACAAGCTAGGTTGAGCTCAACATATCCGAAGTATGCTTCTAGGCGGCATCTTCGTAAGGTCGTGTCCTAAACCCTGATCCCAACCCCCAAAAGTAGTTTCCATGTTATTTCCATTTTCCTTTCCATTATCCTAATATATCCACTGTATATCCCATTATACTATAGTAGTTTCCATTTTCCATTATCCCAATAAATACTACAGAGCCAGATCCCTCAACTTAGAGCCCGGCTTTCAAATTGGTAGCCGATAGGGTTTAGGAGTTTAGGGTTTAGGAGTTTAGGATTTTTTTGCTGGGGTCATGCGCGCTCTGTGCTTGCGCGCTTTGACGCCTGCTCTTTTTGCGTCCGCAGCTTCCGGGCCAGCTCGACATACTTAAATTGAGGTCCAAAGTAATGGGGTCGTGTTACCCAGAAGGAGTGGTCATGCCATACTTCAGGAAAGCACTTTTTAGAAACTACTTCTATCCAGTATGGAAATTGCATGCCACGTCTACGTCCTTGTGCCAATATCCTATCCTTATAAGCACTGGAGAACACAACATTATGCAAGGGCTCAGTGTATGGCGAAAAAAAAACCTCATCCATCATACTACGTTGAAGGTTGTTTAGTTGGGTAGAGGGGAGTTTAGGATAACCTGCTTGCCTCCAGACCGAGTGATTAGGGACTCTGGAGTAGAAAGAGGCCTTTATACCGATAATTCTCCTGAGAAATCTGTGGTAATACGCATCAATACGATTAAGCTGCGGAGTGGTCAGAGGGAAGGCGTCCAAGCCATATATGAGCGTAGATCTAAAGGTGGACTGAAATATGCGTATCTTGGCCTTTTTCGTCAGAGAACTGTTCCAAACAAGCCTTAGCTTCTTATACGATGTTTCCGCTAGTGAGGCCCGATGAAAGAATGCTGTTTCAAAAGGCTTAACCCACGACACCTGGGAGCCCAAATACTTGACCTGTTCGGATTCTGGAACTCTACTTCCGTCAAGGAAGAACAGTGGAGGGGCGGGGTGGTCAGGGTGACTGAGAAGCTCCGTCTTAGAGTTGTTGAGCGTCATTCCGTACAAGCTAGCTTCAGTCTCGATAACTTTAAGGATACTTTGAAGTTGCGGGGTGGTCAGCGACACGAGTAATGTGTCGTCTGCATATTCCAAGTCAAAGATGGGATGTCCCGCTGACCACGTGTTACCCGGTACCCCTTGGGTTAGCATGGATTGGTCAACATCATGAAAGATAACAGAAAGGACTATGACAAACAAGTAGGGGCTTAGTGGGCATCCTTGTCTAATGCCTGACTGGACCTCTCCCTGTGCCTCCATACCATGCATGCCCCTTACGGTAAAGCTTGGAAAATCATACAGAGAGCTAATTACCTGTAAAATATTTTCCGATACTCCGAATCTGCGGAGTGCATCTATCATGGCGGGGTGGTCGATAGAACCAAAAGCTTGTTTCCAGTCCAGAAATAGCAAGTGAAGTCTTGTGTTCCGCATAGTGGACCATTCCATGGCTCGCCTTAGTATGAAGAGCGGGTGCCTGGTACCCCTTTTGGCGCGGAACCCGTACTGCGTGGGCCGCATGTATGGCTCTGCAAATGTCGTGAGCCGCTTTTGAAGCATGGCTGCAAAGATTTTGTATACGTTGTTTAGCAGGGAAATGGGGCGGTATGATGAGGGGTCTGTGTCGGCTCCCTTACCCTTGTAAATGCTAACAACTAAGGCTTCCTTCCAAGAGGGAGGACAGGCACCAGTGGACAGTACGTCGTTGTAGTGTTGAAGAAGGAGTTGCTCCGAGTCTTGATCAAAAAGAGCATATAATTCTGCTGGGATACTATCAGGGCCTGGGGCCTTACGTGGTTTGAGCTTTTTCAGCGCCCACTGAAGCTCTTCCAGGGTAAACAGGTCGATGTCGGGAGCTTGTGGCCTAATTGGGGAACGAGTACCTAGAATAGATGCGGAGTGGTCAGGATCTGTGCGTTGGGCCCATTGAACATCCTGAAGGTAGTTGCGAAAGGCCTCGTGAGTTTTGGACCATGGTACGGGATGCCCGTCCTGGATAAGGTGAGCGCGTCTGCCAACGAAGCCTTTCTTCTGCTGACGTACCGTTCCCCACATGGTACGGTTGTTAGCTTGTGGGTCCTCTTTCAATCTGTCATGTACCCATTGGATGCGATCCTTGCGAGCCTTTCTTTTGGCGAGATTTCGGAGCTTTCGGCTGTCCGGGTGGGCAGTGTACTCTGCTTGTCTGGCCTGTTGAAGTGCGTTTAGCGTATCCTCCGAAATCCAGGGTTTGCGCGGGTTTCGTTTGAATCCGAAGAATGTGTTTTCGCTAGCAGATTTCATAGCCCTAGCTATGTCGGAGACGGGCGTTTGTGTCCTGTGTTCAATCGGGAGGTGTCGCATCAACATGCGTCCACCGCGGCGTTCCTGAGTGATTTTGCCCTCTTCGGCCAATCTATCCGCCCTTTCGTTGCCCTCGTGACCTGCGTGACCCTTTACCCATTCCAGGTGGATTTTCGTCGGCCCTGCCTTAATAATTGAGCGGATGTCATTAATGAACTTGGCATGCGTACGTGGCCTCCATTTGCCCGTGATCATGTTAATAGCCCATCTACTATCCGAGTGGATAACTGCCCGTGATAGTTGACATTGCTGCGCGTACAACACTGCTTCCACGATAGCCGTTAGCTCCCCTGTGTTGTTGGAACCTACTGTAGCCCCTATGTATGCGGAGTGGTCTGAGGTGGTTGGGACCGGTCCGCACGCTTCCTGCCATTCCTCCCCCTGCTTAAAGCACCATCCCCAGCCTGCCAGGGTTTGAGCGCTGCATCTACCTGAACTACCGGAGCCGTCCGTGTAGAAGTGAAGAGCGGAGTGGTCTGTGTCTGCTGGACTTTCCTGCGTTTCCCCCGTTAATGACTCCCTGAGCTTGATGTTAAAATCCCTGATTTGTGAGGGAGTTACACTGGATAAATTGAACTTAGGGGTTGGTCGAGGTCCTGGGGGCCTGTAGGCTAACTTGACTTGAACCTCTGTTACCAGGACTTAGTGGTCGCTGGGGAATCCTGTGTGGAGTTTAGACCTGCAGGAGTGCACGGAGGAAAGCCATTGATGCCGAACGAACATGTGATCCAACCTTTGAAATCTTATCGGGCCCGGGGAAGGCTCCGATGCGAGTGGTGGTGGGAGTTGCGGGAGGTCAAGGTAGGACCTGACTTTAGCTGCGATCTCTAGTGCATCCTGTTGGAGCTGAAGATGGAATAAATCATATACCTGCTGAATTACCAAGGGGTCAAAAACAAACTGTTCCCATGAAGCTGGTGGGGCTGCTTTATCCCTGTAGGTGATGTGGTGTACAGGATTGGGGGACTTGTATGAGGCTGCTTCAACCATTTCCAGTCTTTGCATTGCCCTGACGCAGATAGACCTATTACTTTCAGCGGAGTGGTCGATGTACCGCTTACCTTTGCCATACGTGTATGGGCCTGTGACACCCTGGTCATTCTTGTGTTGCGCTTGAAATCTAACATTAAAGTCCCCGGTGTCGTAAACAGGCTCAGGGTGAGGAATTTTGTCAATATAATTTTCCAACCTATCCCAGAAAGGTTCCCGTATTGTGTCATGGTCCAAGCCAGAGTGAGGTCCGTAGGCGCCTATAAAGTGAAGTTTGCCTCCCTTCTAATTCTCGTGGAGACCTGGACAATGTCAAGGAGGAATGGTCTGATCCTTGGAGAAATAATAACCCCTACCCCAGCATGTTTATCCTTATTGTTGCCTGAAAGGATGACTAGGTGTTCTTCGGAAGTGTAGGAGTAGTATGATGTGGACTTGGTTTCGGTAAGAAACAGGACATCCAAGTTGCTCTCACCCATGATTTGCAAACATGTTTTGAGCTTCAAGGTATCAGCAAAGCCCTGAACATTCAAAGCTCCTACTTTAAGTTTGCTATCATATCTGAGCGGCGGTGTGGTCTGTTTCCTACTACCTTTTCTTGCCCTTTTTCTCTTAATGTTATTTTGCCATAACACTGTCTGTCTGCAAGCCCTTGCATTGTTAAGAGCGGCTTTCTTGGGCATGGAGGGGAAAGGGTCAACAGTGCCCACCTGTTTCTCCCTATGTTTTTTGCAAAAGCTTAGCCATTTACGATACATCCTGCGGCGGAGTGATCGCCTAATGGCCCCCCTGCTTTGTGCTTTATTCCCCTCCTTCTGGGGACACTCTTCGTCGGCCTTAAAGGCCCCCGGCGTGCCTCTGGGAGGCGGTGTTCGGCGAGTGAGCTTAGTACCTTTAATTGTGTCGAATTCATGAATTGATGTCTTCTTAGAGGACTTTGGCTTATACCTAAAGAAAATTTTTCTGCCATCACTTGTGAAACAAACCCTGCGCTTACCAGTTCTGGAAGGAGGGCACCCTAGGTTAAGTTGACTGAGCGGAGTGGTCTTGATTACGCCTAATGGGGGAACTTGGGACACTTGTCTGTATTGCAAAAGTTTATCCCTAGAAAACTGTTGAGGCACTTGGGAGCTAAACTGATAATAATGATCAACCTTAAGGGGGAGATGATCCATCAAGGTAATGATCCTAGGCACTTCAATGGGTATAAGATCATTCAAGCACATAGCAGTGTTACCATGAAGGGAATGCTGTCTCTTATTGAGGGTGTGCTGTAGGATTGCTGAGTAGTCATTATTACTGGAGCTGTGACCTGAAGCTGCAGAAAAAGCTTGGAGGATTGGTCCACATCCTGCGCTCATGGCAGGGTGGTCAGGGAGGCTCAGTTCACTCATGTAGACCCAAAAGTCAAGGCGGAGTGGTCCTTGAGTGAGGCCTTCCCAAAATTGTAGCAGAGCCTTTCAGGCTCCCTTGTGCTGTCTGCCCCTCCCCTTTGGGGTGGCCGGGGGTGGCATGGACTTGGCAGCAGTTGGCACTGTTGAAGCTGCTGCTGGGGTTGCTGGTGGAGCGGAGTGGTCAGGGTTTTCCATGTCCACATCCCCTTGCTCAACATCAGCAGGCTTCCCCTCAAACGTAGCAATGCTATATGAATTAACTTTCTCAGCAGATGCTCCCATCTTGTCGCAGTATTCATTCCAGCAAAATGCTACCTTGTCGACTACTACTGTATCCAACTCAAATGGATATGGGGAGTAGTGGTCATTGTGCACCAGCGCTGACGACCAATGCTTTTTGCCTTTGCCCATCTGCCAGCCTTTTCCTGACCCCTTTGCCTCATGCTTGGCATTTGCCACCACCGTTGCCTCTGCTTGATCCAGGGTGTACTGGTTGCCCCAGATCACCCTGTTCCAGTGCTCGGCCCATAGCGTCTGCTCCGTGGCGTCCTTGTTCAGCGGAGTGGTCTGGAGGACGTTGAAGAGCTCCTGGGTGTAAGTTCCAAGCGTCCTCGGAACTCGCCACCCACTTCGTGGTAGTACAGACGTGCAGAGGCTGCGGCGTCCGGCTTGAACTTCCGGTCTGCCTTGTTCACTGGCGCCATCAATGTAAGGGTTTTCCACAAAATAATCAACGACGCATCCTGGTGTTCGGGGTGGTCGTTGATTGCCGCAATTATCACACGCAGCGGGGATTCCAACTTCCGCTGCCACTGTGGCGAAGACGGCGACACCCGGATGTGATGTCCAGGTTGCGGGGTGGTCTCGCTCGTATAGAGCGGAGTGCCATCCGAACCGCCAAACCTCTCCAGGAAAGCTGACCTTGTCTGCCATGACTTGAATGTAAGGAGCGTCATGGTAGAGTAAAAACCAGCCTGCTGCGGATCTGTGGTGGGCTCAACCGCCAAGACATTGAGGAACACCATGAGGTTGGCGGAGTGGTCTGTGTTGTATGCCCGATCTTGCAGAAAGGTGACGATCTTGGGGCACTGGCTGAGCATCCAGCACAGCTGATACATCCGCTGCTCCGGTGCAAGCCCCGTTGGCCATCCTGAGGTGACCAACTGTACGCCACTCTGATGCTTTTGCATCAGCCTGTTTTCAGATCCCATCCATTCCAGCTCTCTGCGCGTGGCATACACAGAATCTCCGATGGTCTTGAGAGCTGTTTCCAACTGCACCACCATGTTGAACATCTCGGGTCTGATCACCTTTTCATGGTAACTTCTCATCAATGTCAGCACATCTTGATTGGTGCGGACTGGTCGCGCGAGCCATCCTTGCATGGCCGCCTCATCATTGATGTCGACTCCAAGGTGTGATGCAGTTGCTTGCGCCGCCACACTGTCCTGCATTGCCCATGGCAAAACCAACGTCGCGTCCTGGTGCGGTGTGGTCGACGGCTGCTCCGAGTGCGGTTCTACGGGCGTCGCTGTAGAGCTGGCCACTGGCGTCGGAGCCTGCCGCTTGCGGCGGCTATTATCCTCCCAGTAAACACGCTGCACTGCTTCCGCTGTGTTCTGGGTCGAAAAAATGCGCCTCTGCTCCTCATAGGCCCTGATTGCTTGGTCGGCCATGGCAGCAAAGGGCGGTGTGGTCAAAATGAGCTCCCACCAAAACTTGCAAACTCACATGCAAAAAGCTCGTACCGAGACGCCTGAGTTTAGGGTTTAGGGTTTAGGGGTTTAGGAATTAGGGGTTTAGGGTTTAGGGTTTAGGGGTTTAGGGGTTTAGGGTTTAGGGGTTTAGGGTCCCACAGCACTATACGGACTGCAAACCCTGAACTACTGTGCGCACCTTAGCGTACATAACTTCAGGTCTGATATCGTCTATATACAAAATTAAGTACTCTGAGCAAGCGGTAGGGTACAAGGGTCTATGCAACCCCTAGGCAGCAAATGAACCTAGACCCTAAACCCTAAGTCCTAAATCCCAAACCTATATAGTCCCCTATAATAACCGCCTAAACCCTAAACCCTAAACCAACCTGCGAGCGCACGGCTTTTCGGAGTGGCATAGAAAGGGCTTAGGGTTTGGGATGCGGGGGTCAAACTCTTCTCTTTAATCTCCTTCCTACAGTTTCTGGGACCTATAACTGATGACTGTACCTGATAACCGGCTTCTCGCGGAACTTACAAAGGTTTAGGATTTAGGGCAATTCCCCAAAGCCCACAACCCGGTACATCCCGATCACCCGTCAATCGGATCCTAGTCGGCCTGTCCTTTCCCAATTGCCTACAGTTTTTTAGGTTATAATGGGTAATCGAAGGCCACACTGTAGATAAGCTGGGGTTACAGGCAAACCCTAGACCCTGCATTGCAAGCGAAGATTCCGAAAGGAGCACTAGAAGCGAATCCATCAGCGCCTTGGTTTGGGACTGAAAGTTTAGGGTTTTAGGGTCTAGGGTTTAAGGTTTTAGGGCGTAGGGCGTCGCTCGATTATAGGTTATATTACCTGCGGTTGCATAGGCTTCAGCTTCTTGTCATGGAATGTTATCTAAGCTATGCTCCTAGATCTGGTAGTTTCCATAAATAGGGGGACCCCAACATAGACCCCCCAATAGCATACCCCATATTCTTGGGACTCCCAACATGGATCCCTCTGTTTTTGGGGAAAACCCCCATCTAGGGATCTTGCTCTGCTTAGGCTCGCTTGTTGAAGATAAAGCTGCAGGGCTCATTTAGGGTTTAAGGTGTCAATGGGGCCCAAACGTACAAACATCCTGGCTCAGTGTCCAGGTCTCTCTCTACAACGGGTTTGGGGTTTAGGGATGATTCAGGTGGTGGCCACGACTCCTAGAAACCCTACACCCCTGAACCCCTAAACCCTAAACCCCTAAACGCCTAAACCCTAAACCCCTAAACCCTAAACCCCTAAACCCCAAACCCCTAACTCCTAAACCTTGTAAACCCTAAACCCCTAAATCCTTAAACCCTAAACCCTAAACCCCTAAACCCCTAAACGCCTAAACCCTCGTAAAAATCTCCAGCTCCTAAACCCTAAATAGTAGTTTCCATTCTCTTTTCCATTATCCCAATATAACCCCATTATAACCCCTAGATTACTATCCTATATGCCCATTATATAACCCATTACAAAATCCAAACAGGCTCAGGTACCATCTCCAGAGCACAGCCGCTCGGGAACATGGTTTAGGGTTTAGGGTTTAGGGCCCATTCAATACCCATAAAATCTGGGGTATACTTCAAGGGTTTAGGGTTTAGGGGTTTAGGGTTTGGGGTTTAGGGCCCATTCAATACCCATAAAATCTGGGGTATACTTCAAGGGTTTAGGGTTTAGGGGTTTAGGGTTTGGGGTTTAGGGCCCATTCAATACCCATAAAATCTGGGGTATACTTCAAGGGTTTAG